GGCAACATGACATGGTACCTTTCTTGAAGATAATGGAAGCATCACAACATTGGCCCAGGGTTGGGGTCTGGAGAGTTGGTGGGAGGCCCTCCAGTCCCTGAAGCTACTGACACTTACTATTGGCCTCTGACAGGCCTCGTGTGCCTCTCTACCCACCTACCCCTGGCTCTGTTTGAGTCTAGCACAAAGTCAGAGGAACTAGAGCATCCACCCTGGGGTAGCAGTAAGACAGCCATAAAACCAAGGACTCAGCCCTCTCCTTTCCCGCAGTAGACAGGGTGATGCCCAGCCTCCTCTCTGTTCATCCTGCAGTCTAGTCTGAACTGGTCAGAGGGGCAACAGGAACATCAAACTGGGGATCAAGTCTTCTCAACTCAAGTATAGGAAGCAAGAGCTACTGTTGAGGTTTGGAAGATATAACAGATACCACAGTCCAGCAGGGTGAGCCCCCAGAGGGCCCCACGGTCCAGCAGGGCGAGCCCTCAAGGGACCCCATGCTCCAGCAGGGCAAGCCCCCAGGGTACCCCACAGTCCAGCATGGTGAGCCCCCAGAGGACCCATGGTCCAGCAGGGTGAGCCCCCAGGGGACCCCACGGTCCAGCAGGGCGAGCCCCCAAGGGACCCCCGCTCCAGCAGGGCGAGCCACCAGAAGGATGAGTGACACTGAGAAGACAAATGAAACTTTGCATGGCCAACTTCATCTTCTTCAGGTTTTCCCCGGCTCACAGGGAGTCCACCCCTGGCCACCAGAACTGGCTCTGCAGGTGCTGTCTGTTGATCTGCCTGTCCCCTTCCCTGTCATTCGGAGCTTTCTGTTTGCTGCTGCATGCTGCACTGGTTCATCTTGCCTCACAGAGTCTTTCCACTTGACTGCAAGCACAGCCGAGCTGGGATTGGCCTTTTGTGCACTAAGCACGTGGTGGCACTTGGTGGCACTTGGTGACTGCTTGCTGGGTATGAGGAGTGATGGATGACTTTCTCCCAGAGTCCAGGCCTCCTGTTGAACAGGTTGCACACACACAGTGCTCTAGAAGAGTCCGAGTCTTGGGGCTCTGAAAGGTGAACAGATTTGGGGTCCCCAGGTGGGAGCAGCCGGATATCTGAGGAGGTCTGTCTAGGATAAAGCCAGGGCTGCTTCAGCCAGAAGTTAGCAGTGAGGCTTTCATGAGGGAGAGGCTGTCTGAAGAGATTTCATGAGGGCTGACTGTCGTTCCTAAAGTGTTCTGGGCCTGGCCACCAGCAGCCCGTTTTGCATTCTGTTGGCTTGACCAAGGGGAGGCTTGGGAGCAGGGAGAGGAGCAGTCTTGTGTTCCCCAGAATCAGCTTCTTCTAGAGAGACACTAAAGGCACAAGCTGTGACTCCAGGCTTCCCGGGTTCAATGCCACCTCCCCCACGCATTTGTTGAGTGGCTTTGGCAGCGTTACTGTGTCTGGGTTTCTTCCTCTGCACAATGGGAATGATACTAGCAATGACCTCACCAGGTTCTTGTGGGGATTAAACTGGCTTGTATAAGTATCAGTGCTCAAAACAGCACGTGGTGGACGCATGTGAACGCCCACTGTGATCTTTGGGGTGCTGTGGGGCAGAGGGTGTCCCTTGGCCTCCTCTGTTCTTCCTACCCACTTCCTGTAGCTTCCCACAGTCCAGGTCCCTATTTCCTCCCACCCCGCTGAGCCACAGGGTGTCTGTAGCTAGGCCCCTCCTCCCACCCGCTCCTTTCCCTGGCCAAGCCTGGGACTTACAGGTCATGGGAAGACGGTCCTGGTGGGATGAGTCAGCCTGTTCCGCCTTGCCTCCCTGCTGCGTGTAGCCAACCACGCAGGAGGTAAAAGTTAGGTGTTGATGACATCCCATCTCCCATGAGGAAGGCAGAGATTTCTCCTGAAGAGAGGAACCCAGAGCCCAATCGTACCTCTCACCAGGGGAGTCAGCACTGCCCTTAGCTGTGGTCTCCAGTCCCTTTACCATCGCTGTCTGTCACAATGTGGGCCTGTGAGAGACTTCGCCAATTCCTGGATGTTGTCATCTGTCTTCCAGGCATCACTTGTGTCTCCCACTCTATTCCTGACTGTAAAGTCCACGTCTCCATAGGACCCTTCCTTCACTTCCTTCCTTCCTTCCTTCCTTCCTCCCTCCCTCCCTCCCTCCCTCCCTCCCTCCCTCCCTTCCTTCCTTTCTGCTTTCCTTCCTTCCCTTCCTTTCTTTCTTTTGTTTGTTTATTTTGTTTTTTTTTTTTAGACTGGGTTTATCTGTGTAGCTTTGGAGCCTGTCCTGGAACCCGCTTTGTAGACCAGGCTGGCCTTGAACTCACAGAGTTCTGCCTCTGCCTCCGAGTGCTGGGATTGAAGGTGTGAGCCACCACGGCTGGCTTGGACCCTGAATTATCTGAACCTGCCTCGCTTCCGTACTGTCCTCTTTCCCATCGCTCTGTAGCCCTGACTCTACTTTCTTCTGCAGAAAATTCCCACCCTGGTCGCTCCACTCTAACCATCCTGCATTTCCAGGAAGCTTCCAGAGATTGTCCAAGACCTTGCTGCTCAAAGGGCTGTCCTCTGACTGCTGGTCTGGTGAGAATTTCAGTCCCCGCAAAGGCAGTCTGGGACCGTATGGCCACCAGTACAGACTGACTGGTGATAGGGAAGAGAGCACGTCCAATCCCATCAACAGCAGAGCAGTGCCTGCCTGACCCCGAACTCTGCTCCTGTACCAGCCCACTCATGTGGCTGGAAAAGGGTTGGGCATGCCAAGGGTCCTCGTACACAGCCTCATTCCCGGCACAGGCTTAGCAGAGGCAGATCTCCCCTTGTGTACTGATTTGTCATGGTATGGTCCAGGAGGCTTTGGCTTAGGAATATGAAACCTCTCTCTGCATGTGAGCTTAAACAATGTGAGGCTGCTGCCCAGATGGTTCCTTGGCCAGCATTCTGTTAAGAATTCCTCTGCAGAGGCTCATGGGAAGGTTTTGTGTTGTCTCTCTTCCCACTCTCTCTGCCCCCAAACACCTCGGCACATTAAAGTCTCTGAAAATCACCAGCAAAGAGAACTGCTTAACTCATCTCCTCAGAGCCTCCGAAAGTCACACCTCTGTCATGTCACAGCAGTGAGCCTGTACAAATGACGTTGGGAGGCTTTGGTGCCTTTACCACCCACACACCAATCGTTAAGATTCTTGTTGGAGGCGCTTTGGTCCCCGACGGACCCTTGCACTCATTTCCCAGGTGGGTTGGTGGCATTGGCAGGGGCTGGGCTGGAGGAGGGGCGGTGTCCACACACTAATGTCCCCTTCTCTTGCTCGGGATGGCTGTACTTTTATTTTGAGTCTCAACCGTTCCGTGTTCCAGCAAGTGCTCTAGCCCATGCCTAGAGTCCCTGCTGCAGGAGACAAGACTGTTCCTATGGACTGACTGCCATCGGACAGGAAGGTGTGGTCCGTCCATGGGAGGACAGTTCACATGGGGAAATTCCATTTGCCTTGCCCACCTGTAGAGTACGTGTGACAGCGATTTCTAGCCAACCCCTGGCCTGGCTTTTGCTGACTCTGTGGTTGGATGGAAGGTGGAACTGGCAGGGTTGGTTCTGACAGCCTGACTCATGGCTTCTGCAACCAACACCTCCAGCCACTAACAGCTTGGTTGAGGAGACTGGGCCAGAGAGGTTGTGGGAATCTGCAGAATGCAGTGCTGACGGCTTCTCTCCATGGCCAGTGAGCTGGGGCCAAGGGCTGGGGTTTGCAGAGACTCTGGGGATCCTGGGATCTGTGGTGCCAGGAGACCCAGCACCGACACTGAGTGACTTAATGTGGCAGGCATCTCTGAGGGACTCCAGGAACCACCTTATGTTGGTAGAAAGGAAGCTATTGAGGTTTCCAAGGCTGGGTATCAACTGTGCTGATCTCCTGACAGTTACACCAAGACACCATTTCTACGGCACCTGAGAATACATGTATCCCAAAGCAGAATTCATGAGCTCTGGGGAATCCCATTTCTAAATAGCAACACACCTCACACCTACTGTCTTTTCCTCCTCATTCGCTTCCCGAGGAGGCTGCCAATGCAGGCTGAAGAAGCCTGATTGTGTGGAGTCCATGAAGTCGGAAGAGAGCTTCGGGGGCTGGAGATGTCACTCAGTGGTAGACTGTTTGCCCAGCAGGCAAGAACCCTGGGTTCTATCCTTAGTTCCACGAGAAGAGAGACAGGGGAGAAAGGAGGAAGAAAAGGAAGGAGGGAGGGAGGGAAGGAGAGACAGAGAGACAGAGAGACAGACAGAGAGAGAGAGAGAGAGAGAGAGAGAGAGAGAGAGAGAGAGAGAGAGAGAGAGAAAGAAGAGAGGAGACAGAGGAGAGAGAGATCACATGAATTTCTAAGCAATGGAGTCCCTCCACTAGGCAGTTCTGACTCTGCATGGCATAACCACAGGAAATGGATGCTCTGGAGATCCCAGGCCCACACTGTACTTGATAGCCTTAGAGAACATCTCTGTCTCCTCCTCTAATCCGGTTCTCAAGAGAAATGATGACAACTTGAGATACGTTCAGAGAGGGTGACCCTGACAGTGAGTGGGGCAGTAAACCTCACTTCTAAGGGAGGGCTGAAGAAACTGAGTGGGTTGGGTATGAGGAGCTCAAAGGCATAGGATGGCTGCCTAAGGAAGGAAGTGAGGCGTCCTTCTCCACGGCCCCTGTGGGTAGAGACACGGCCAGCCGGTGGAAAGCAGCGCATCTTGAGATCGCTTCCCTATAGAGCTCAGAGTTGGTGCGTGGCTAAGACAGCTGAGCCAGGCGGTGGTGGCGCACGCCTTTAATCCAGCACTCGGGAGGCAGAGGCAGGCGGATCTCTGTGAGCTTGAGGCCGGGCTGGTCTACAAAGTGAGTTGCAGGACAGGCTCCAAATCTACACAAAGAAACCCTGTCTTGAAAAACAAAACCAAAAAAAACAAACAAACAAACAAACAAAACCAAAAAACAAAACAAAAAACCCAACTAAACAAAACCACCCATAGATAGTTGAAATGGATTGTGTCTTTATGGTCAAAATGTGGGAGTCAGGAAAGGTTTTAATATAAATTCGCTGGGAGAATCTGGATCTATACTCAGAACTGTCTGCAGCTCACACAATGCTGAGTGATGCTAGTGGTGAGAAACAGAAACGAGGAGCTCATCATCCCACAGGCGCCAGTCATGGTGCAGCATAAATGTGAGGGCCTCATGGAGGGACAGCATGTGAGTCGGCTCCTGGAGGGTGGACAGAGAACACACCAAGTGAGGCCACATGAGGCCACAGGAACAGCACAGGCAGAGTGGGCTTGAATTCACACAACCCTTGGGGAGATGCCGTTAGGGGAAGCCAAGGGAGAGAATGAAGAAAAACAGGACAAGGCAGATAGACCGAGGTTGTCCTGAGAGAACCGTGAACGGAAAGCGCAGGGTTGGCAGATGTTTTCTAAAAGGTAAAGGGTGTGGTTAGCATTACTTACAGAGCAGTCTGGAGGAGGCCGGTGGCAGTGGGCGGGCATGGGAGTGAAGCCAGCCAGAAGGTGGCAGCATAGAGCAAGGAAAGGGCCAGGCTTGCTGTTCCCTTGCTGTGTTAGAACGTGGGGAGGGTAGTTCAGTCATCAGGACTTGCTGAGGGGCAAAGGAGGCATTAAAGATTTGGGAGGATGGGTGGGTAGCGATTCCAGTTAGTCTTTATTTCTTAAAAGCGAACAAACCAAAACCACCGGTAGTTCAGGCTCGTTTTGAACTTTATGGAGGTCGGAGCCAAGGTATGTGTGTGTCACTTGAGCGCCCTCCTCTTGGGACCCCTGTTTCCTGTGAACAGGGAGCAGCAACAGACGTTGTCCCATCCATCTGCTAAAGACCCAGATAGTCTCCTCTGCCTCTTCACACCTGCACACACACACACACACACACACACACACACACACACACACACACGCCCTCGTGCATTTCAACCTGCATTTGTAAAAACCAAGCAGGTGGGAGCTAGCATGTAGCCTCCAGAGACCCCCTCCGCCCCACCTGCCTTGCTGAGAGGTGGACTAGCCTCCAGCAGAGCTAGCAAGCCTCTCAACCATCCTCGAACCTACCAAACACTGATGTCTTCCACGCCACTCATTCGGTGGCCAGAGAGTCCCGCGTCCAGAAAAGGCTGAGTAGCTTTTACCAAACCATTTTGCTGTAGATAAAAGCCACACCCTCCGGACACAAGTTAAAAATTAACAACCACTCAGAGCTATCGGGGACCAACCAAAGACAGGCAGGAGAGAAGAAATTTCATTCAATGAGTTTTCTACGTTCATCCAGGGTCAGGCTGCAGACAGGCTAAGAGTCAAATTAAAGCTTGTCATCTCACTGGCTTTAAGAACCAGGAGACACTGTTTGAGGCATCTGGAAAGGAAAGGAAAAAAAAGGAAAATATAGCAATGTGATACAGTCTCAGAGCAAATGCTTCAGATTTCAAATATGAGCTATAACTAAGGGCTGGCAATATGGCTTAGCAGGTGAAGGTGCTTGCCACCAAGCCTGAAGACCTGAGTTCAATCCCCAGAACACGCTTGGTGGAAGGAGAGAACTGATTCCTGAAAATTGTTTTCTTATTTCTACATGTGTGCTGTGGCATGTGTTGTATGTGTGCAACATACAGACATGTATACTAAACACACTAAAATAAAGGTATAATAAACATTTAAAAAGATAAATAAGCCATACCCATATCTCTGATTGGCTCTTGGACTATGCATATGAGGAAGAGCACCTAGGTAGCTCTAACAGACCCCAAAGAACCCATCGAAGGTTTAGCTGCTGCTCACCACAGGGAAAATGGAGGCTGGAGTTGGAGCTCAGCAGTAAACACCTGGTATCCTTCAGATGACGAAGAGGAGGACCCAGAAAATACACAGATATTCTTTACATTCAGGATGCAAATTAGAAATAAGAGACTATAGCCGGAATGGTGGCCTTTAATTCCATCACTCAGAAGGCAGAGGCAGGAAGATCTCTGTGAATTCAAAGTAGTCTGGTCTACAATGCAAGTTCCAGGACAGTCAGGGCTATACAGAGACCCTGTCTCAAAAACAAAACACAGACAAACAAAAACCTATGAAACAAATATAAATAAATAAATAAATAGATATATAAGAGAATTTGATCTATAATTGAAATAAGAGGCAACAAATGGGACTGATATGAGCTACTTAAATACAGGAATAAGATAATTTAAAAACAGAACTTGTAATTTTGTTAGAAGATGTTAAGACAAATGAAATGGGTGAGTATCATTTGTAAATATGAAAGAAATATTTACAAAAAGTAAAAATTTTTAAATAGAACCAAATAGAAATTCTCAAGCTGACAAATGTGTGTAAAATGAAAGTCCACTGGACAGGTTCAGGCCCACATTTGGAATGACAGAAGAGTCATGAACCTGAGCACAGTCAAGAGGGATAAACTCATCTGACGAGCAGAGAGCAAAAGGTGATTCGTGGAGCAGTGACAAGATGTCTAGCACAGTTTGAACCACGGTCCCAGGACGAGTGGGAAAGGAAAGGAGATATGAAAGTCATTGAAACCACAACTGCCCCAAACTCCCAGAGGGATGAAAGACAGCACAGATCCGAGAAGCTCAGCAAAGGCCAAGCGAGGCTGGCCCCAGCAAAGGCGTATCTGGGCGTGCTACCGTTACAAACTAAGACAATAATGTCTGCAAAGTGGAAAAATGACAGAATGCATTTAGAGAAGTGGTACAAATGATGGCTAATCGCTTTTCAAAAATAATGGCAGTGAGAGGACAGAGAAACAACATCTTTAAAGTGACGAAAGAAGAGTGACACTATCCACCAGAATCCCGGCTTGTGTGTGTGTATGTGGTGTGTGTATATGTGGTGTGTGTGTATGTGGTGTGTGTGTGTGAGGGTATGTGGTGTGTGTGTGTGTGTGGTGTGTGTGTGTATGTGGTTTGTGTGTATGTGGTGTGTGTGTATATGCGGTGTGTGTGAGGGTATGTGGTGTGTGTGTATGTGATGTGTATGTGTCTATATGTGGTGTGTGTGTATGTGGTGAGTGCATATGTGTGAGCATGTGTGTGTGAGTGTGTGGTGAGTGCATGTGTGTGTGAGTGTGTGTCTGTGTCTATATGTGGTGTGTGTGTATGTGGTGTTTGTGAGTGTGCATGTGGTGTGTGTATGAATGTGTGGTGAGTGCATGTGTGCTTGTGAGTGTGTGTGGTGAGTGCATATGTGTGTGTGTGTGTGAGTGTGGTGAGTGCATGTGTGCTTGTGAGTGTGTGTGGTGAGTACATGTGTGTGTGTGTGTGAGTGTGTGGTGAGTGCATGTGTGTGTGTGTGAGTGTGGTGAGTGCATGTGTGTGTGTGAGTGTGTGGTGAGTGCATGTGTGTGTGAGTGTGTGGTGAGTGCATGTGTGTGTGAGTGTGTGGTGAGTGCATGTGTGTGTGAGTGTGTGTGGTGAGTGAATGTGTGTGTGTGAGTGTGTGGTGAGTGCATGTGTGTGTGAGTGTGTGGTGAGTGCATGTGTGTGTGTGAGTGTGTGTGGTGAGTGCATGTGTGTGTGAGTGTGTGGTGAGTGCATGTGTGTGTGTGAGTGTGTGTGGTGAGTGCATGTGTGTGTGAGTGTGTGTGTGAGTGTGTGGTGTGTGTGCCGGTGCACTTGCCTCTGTGCATGGCCAGAACAATTAGGTGTCCTGCTCTATCACTCTTCACCTTCTTTTTTTTTAGCATAATTTATTCTTTGGGAATTTCACATCATGCACCATAATACCACCACATCCCAGGCCTCCAATATTCTGCCCTCATCCATGCAGCACTCCACCAAAAAATTTTAAAAAAATCAAACCAAATAAAGCAAAGCAAGCAAACAAAAGCAAGAACAAACAAACAAACAAACAAAACCCCTCTTTGCTTTTCTATCTCCCCACTTTAACACCCCTTCTTTCATCCTGGTGGCATTGGGAGTCACAGTGTGTCACATGTATACCCTTTTGTTCAATCAGCTTTACCAGCAAATTGTCATTGCACTGGTCTGATTCAAGGCCTCTGGTTTCTGGTACACCATCATCTCTGCATCCTTACCAAACTCCTCTGGGATGTCTCACAGCTGCCCTGAGTCATGGAGATCCTATGGGCATTGTTCCCCAGGACTAGTTCCTTTATGAGCTCCAGCAGGCTCTAGATGGGTAGATATTAGGGTGGGTCTACCCGAGGCCCTGCTGTGGGCCTGGGTGGTGGCTGAGCTGGTCAGTCCTGGCCACTGGGGCCACCCACCTCAGGCAAGGGGACAGAGCCCGCTCTCCTGCGCCCATGCCATCATCGTCAGTTCCCCCTCATCCATGGTGAGGACTGGGAGCATCTCTTCCGTGAGCGTCAGGGCCAGTTCTCTTGTTGCAGAATCTAGCAAGAGGCAGGCCCAGCAAAGGGCGGGGCCAGCCCAGCTTGACCCTCTGATTACATCACTCATGGTTCTTGTGACCCCTCTGAGGCAACACAAGCCACAGACATCAACAAGGCCACAAGTTATTGCCCAGACCCCTGTCTCTGTGTGGTTCCTACTGGCAACTTCCACACAGACCCCGCTGCAGTAGGACCATTGACCCAGACATGGTCCTCAGCAGCAGCCTGGGTCTGGATGTCATCATGGCCCCAGGTGGTAGCAAAGGCCACCCGATCAGCATAGTCCCAGCATCAGCATGGCCCTCGGACACCAGCACAGCCCCAGGGGTGGCCTAGACCCCTGGAATCAGCATGGCCCCACATTCTTTTTTTTAAGACAGGGTCTCTCAAGAACTTGGAGGAAGGTGGTGGTTAGCAAACTCCAGGAGCCCTCTGTCTCTGCTCCCTACAGTGCTAGGTTACAGGAGTCCCTGGCCAGGTCTGGCTTTTTATGTGGGTGCTGCAAGTGAGACATTTCACTCGACAGCACTAAAATGGTGTTTTATTCATAATGAAATTATATAACTTGCAGGAACAGGGATGGAACTGGGGGTCATTGTGCTAAAGGAAATAAGCCAGATTCAGAATGACAATTAGTGTCTGTGTTCTCATATGCAAAGTGTAGAATAAACACACACACACACACACACACACACACACACACACACACACACACACACACCAGAAATCTAGGGGAAAAAGAAAAAATAAATTTAAAGTAGGTAGAAGAAAATAATAAGGAGTCAACAGAAAACTAGCACAGTCAGACATTGGTAAATAAGATAAGTAGATAAGCCAGGTGTTGGTGGCGCACGCCTTTAACCCCAGCACTCGGGAGGCAGAGGCAGGCGGATCTCTGTGAGTTCGAGACCAGCCTGGTCTACAAGAGCTGGTTCCAGGACAGGCTCCAAAGTCACAGAGAAACCCTGTCTCGGAAAAACAAAAACAACAACAACAAAAAGATAAATAGATAAGTATCTAATCAGGCTGTTCAAGGAGTGGGGGAGAAAGGGAGGAAGGCATGGAAGGAGTGAGGGAGGGATGGAGTGAATGAGTGAGTGAGTGAGTGAGGGAGGGAGGGGTGAGTGAGGAAGGGAATACCAGGACTATGGAACAGCGTTGCATCTTGGGAGGGAACTGGCTGGGGCACTTGCAAAGGCATTTTCTGAGGTGATCACGGGGTTTTGGGTTGCACTGGTGTGAGTTTGAAAATGTGTGCAATGGTGTGTTTAAGGTTTGTGCATTTCACTGCATCTCTATTTTACCTACGAGGGAGGAGGGGTTAAGAATTAAAGGCTCCTAAGTCCAGCTTGCGTCCTTCCTGCAAGCTCCTCAGTATCACTTTACACCGATGGCTAGCCCTCCATCTGTGGGTGCCCTTGGCTGCCCTGCGCATCACTCTCCTGCGTCACCACGGTTTCATTCACAGCTCCTTGCCACCACGGGCCGGGCGTCCAGTCTGTGACCCTCTGTTCGGCTCCACATGCTTCCTTTCTCCTCTCATCATCTCTGGTTCAAAAGCCCTCAGGGTTTTGTTCAGAAATGTCTGGCCCAGATATGCTAAAACCCTTTAGAACACAGGGCACCTGGGGCCAGTTTGCTCCCTGTATTCTTGGACACACATGTTAGGGTTACAAGAAGAGTCCTGTTAGTCATATTACGCCACACCAATCCTGAGCTCTAGTACCTCGGTTTGAGACAAGAATGAACACCTGTGTTGCAATCGTTTGCTTCTCATTTTCCCTTCTTTAATTCAAGAAATGTCTTGGGAAAAGGCTCCTGTCCTCCAAAAACCTTTTCTAGGCAAAAACAGAAAACAATTCTCCACAGCCCCTTTTAAAATTGACAAAACCCCTTCCCAGATAGCCTGCCTCTGGGTCACTTCCGAGTCTAGTTCTCACTGCATGCTCCCATACACACACACTCAGAACTAGTCCTGCCTGGCTCACTCTGCCTGGCTCTGAGTATTCCTGGGACTGAGCCAGCCCTAACAAAGCAATATCTGGACCCTTGGCAGGATGTGGAGGGTGCGGCTGTTATCACAGGTGCCAGTCAAAGAGGTGGTGAGCTAGGCTCACCGTGCCCTTCCAGGTCTTTGGAACTGGTCCATATCCAGGTCACAGAAAAAGTTAGACGAGTCTTCAGGGCTGGCCTGGTGGGTGACAGTCACGTGTTCCCAGGACACAAGACAAGAGGAACAGTCAGCATGAAGATGAAGAGATCCTTTCTCCCCTTTCTTCTCTTCTCTCTTCCTCCTTTTCTCTCTCCTCTCTCTCTGTCTCTCTGTCTCTCTCCTCTCTGTCTCTCTGTCTCTCTGTCTCTCTCTCTCCTCTCTCTCTCTCTCTGTCTCTCTCTGTCTCTCTCCTCTCTCTCTCTCTCTCTGTCTCTCTGTCTGTCTCTGTCTCTCTCCTCTCTCTCTCTCTCTCTCTCTGTCTCTCTGTCTGTCTCTGTCTCTCTGTCTCTCTCTGTCTCTCTCCTCTCTCTCTCTCTCTCTCTGTCTCTCTGCCTCTCTGTCTGTCTCTGTCTCTCTCTGTCTCTCTCCTCTCTCTCTCTCTCTCTCCTCTCTCTCTGTCTCTCTGTCTCTCTCTGTCTCTCTCTGTCTCTCTCTCTCTCTCTCTCTCTCTCTCTCCTTAAACAGTAACAAGACCCTACATACACACAGGGTTCCTAGGAATTCCCGTGGTTCCAGTTACTCAGCCTCTCTGCCTTCTCTGAACCTTGGATGGGAGAGTGGGCACCGTCGGGCCAGCTCTGTAGAGTCTGCCTGTGTCAGTGTGCACCCTGCTTATGGTCACAGGTCAAATGCTCAAGTCTCTGTTACCTGCAGTTTAACTGTACTCCAGGGAAACATGGTCTTGGTCCTAGAGTGCAGGAGCTTCCTCTCAGAGGACCCAGAACTACATATCTGGGCTCACTGTAGCTGAGGCTAGCTTCTAACTCACTCTATAGTCACGGATGACCTTTATTTAACTCTTGAAACTTCAGTCTTGGTCTTTCAAGTAGTGGGAATGCTGGAATTACAGACATGTGCCACCATGCCCAGCAGAAGCAAATCTTAAAACGTACGTACTAATTCGTATTGAAGTTTTTGTTTCATTTTGTTTGTTTGTTTATTTTGGGGGTAGGGCATTGGAGACAGTCTTACTTTGTAGACCAGGTTGGTCTTGAACTCACAATCCCCCTGCCTCGGCAGCTCCACTGCTGGGATTGCATGTATATACCAGCACACTCAGTTTTACTCAGTGGCATGGGTTGAGCCCAGGGTTTTGTGGATGCTAGGCAGACACTGCCAACTAAACTACAAGCCCCACCACTGTGAGATTTGACATGTTAGAAGCATAAAGTGTGGGGTTCACTGCTGATCCCCTGCAGCAGGCCCCTCAGCTTTCACAGATGGCCAACCTATCTCTCGGTGACATGCACGCACGATGCCCTGGCAGGTGTCTGCAGGATGACTGGCGAGGGTGCAGAATACGTGCTGGGGTCATGGAGCCGTCTCTTGCCTCGAAGCCCTTGGCTCATCAGCTCCGTGTTCTAACCAACCAAACCTGCCAGGCCCAGGCTGGATGATGCATGCAGCAGTTCCTGGCATCTGACCGACAGCCTGTGAATCAGAACTCTCATTCTCCTGCATGTCTGCACAGCATCCACCCCTCGTAGGATGTGCAGTCCTACGCAGTCCCAGGGTTCTGTGAACCCTATTCACTGGGGATTCTATAGTGCACAGTCTGGCGGCCTCCTCCGCAGCCTTCCCTGTCATGCTCTGATACTCAGGACACAGGAGGCCTGGGTCTGGTCCAGGCTTGGAACTTCTGTAAGCACCCTGTGTGACTGAGCTGGCTGCCTTCTCTCCCTTCCCCTCATCTATTGATTGGCATTTGATGCCCTGTGCTCTGCCTGGGTTACTAAAGAGACAAGCAGATCCAGACAGAAAACAATGCCTCAGGGTTCTGAAAGTGAAAGAATCATTGTGTGCCTCTCTGAAGAAGACCATTGCCCAACATCTGCTCACCCGTCTCCAGCTGTGCTGGCAGCAGAAGGCACTGCTTGTTAAAGATTGGCGCTTTAGTTCCCTGATTCCTGGGGGGGCGTCCAGCACCTTACCAGGTAAGTCACAAAAGGGACAAGAGGAAATGGCTTCGAGGTCAGGCATGTGGACATGTGTGGACATGAACTCAGAGACACTCGGCCTCCAGGACTTTGAAGACTTCCTTCTCACCTTGAGACGTACTGTGTCCTTGGTGTCCCTTTGATCCTATCCATCCAATCCTGGAGCCAGATCCTCCTACTCTCATCAGCCTGTCTCCTGTAAGACCTGCCACCTTTTTGGTCAAGGATGGCTGAATTAGGACTTAACTATTGTAGTCATTTGGGACTCCTCTACCCACATCCAAGTATAGCATTAGATTTCTACGCTGTTATGATTTCCCAGTAATCACATGTAGTAGTTCTGGGAAAGTGAGGTGATGAATCCATAATGGCTTCTAGACATGTGTACATGAAGATGTCAGGGTGACTGCAATCCATGTGACATTTTACACTGGAGCATAATTGCAGTGGGACAGCAGCAACCAGGCATGTTGCTGAGCTGAAGCAGAACAAAAAAAAAACAGGATTTAGCATTGGCACCCTTTATATGACGTTCAAAATGACAAAATTAAAATACACTGTTGGAAGTCAGGGTGGTGCCATGTTCTCCTTGTGAGTGGGATAGAAACAGGAGGGCCATGAGGGAGGCTTGAGGGCTGATGCTGTACCATTTCTTGACCTGGGTGCTATTCAGTTTGAAGAGGTTCAGAACTGTTTACATTTTAAATTGTGCCATTTTGATCTCCAAGTTGTATTTTAGTGAAAGCATAAAGATGGCACTTACTGATTTTGTAATTTGACCTGCTTTTTGCAGCCAGTACACGTTTGTTGGTCCCAAAGCATTTCCAGAAGCCTTGACTTAGTGCATCTAATAGTGTGGGTCACAGAGAGCCACAGTCCTCTCCTGACTGGTACTCAACATCTCTCCCCTGGACACTACCAAACACCATGATATCGCAAGATACTATAATGGAGCCCTTGTTAGTCATCATTCCTCCAGGACAGGAAAGGCTCTTCTCCATGGATTTCCTTAGCATCTCCTCATCTCAACCCAGGTACCTGGGTTCTCATGGATGATGGTGGCCCTCAGCCCATGCCATGCCTGGGGTCTTCCGTATCTCCAGCAGCTGACGGGGAACCCATGCAGCGTAGGCATTCTGGAACCATGAGCCCCTAAGTCACAGAACTCTGCCTGAATGGATAGGTTGTCCTCAGAATGACTTCCTAGTTGTAACCTGGGTGACATCAGTCAGATTCGTTCCCTCCTAAGCCCCAGTATCTGTATATTAAGGCTGCAATCCCAGCATCCCCATGTTTACATGGACTACAGTGGAGCAGGTTATCTCCTGGGTGACATTTTTTAATTCTTACCTGATAGTCATTAAGAGGAGACATTGGAGAGAAGGCCCTTCATCCCTTAGTAGTAACCCAAATAATACAAAGTTTGAAGAATTGTCAAAGAAACACTATCAATTTATTGATTTCCTATATTTCAACAAAGCACATACATGGTGTATCATACAAGGAAACTGGACCTGGCTGGCACAAGGTTCTCATACAACACAGAGCAAGGAGACTGAGGGCCAGAGGGAGATTCCCAGACACTGCAAGCCCAGAGCCCCAGCCAGGAGCTGAGTGGACACACACAGGCCATCTTTGGCCTCTTGGGTCCTTGGAAGAGGTGTGGGTGACTGGTCCATCCCCCACTGGGCAGGTTGTTGCTGGCCAATAGTTGGATCTCTCACAGGAGATCTCAAGTCAAGGAAGACCTTTCTCATTGGTCCTCAACTGTAACTTGCTTTAGGCATGGAAATAGAAGACAAATTTGATTTAAAACACTAAGATAGGTCTGGTATACATAAAGTCCAGTCGGTCCCTTATTTTCTCTTCTAGGAATGTATCAATAAGCCACCTTAATTTTACCTTTCCTGAATGACAGGCATGAGTTGGACCCAGCCCATCTGGCCAACTTCATGGAGTAAGTTACCATAATCAGGTCTGGCCCCTGGGTGTCTCGGCACCTGATTCATCCCTAAAGCAAAGGGTGGGCCTGCCAAACTATCCTCCTAGAGAAAGGAAAACTAAGCCTCTGAGCCGCAGGGAGTGAGGACAGTGTTGAAGGAAGGGTGTTGCTCATGGTCTATAACAGTTCTGCTCTCTGACTTGGATGCTCTGTGTGTTTCTCTCCAACTTACTTAGGAAGGAGCTGGTTCCTGAAGCCCAGGACCTGGATATCCTTTCTCCCTGGGAAGACAAACACTATATGGGACTGAGGTGGGGAAGGTCTCATGCGCTGATGTACCCAAGGGCTTCCTTAGAACACTGCCTGGCATGGAGTAGTGTGCCAATGGTGTGTTTTAAGAAACGGATTGTTTTGCATCCCATTGATTGGCAAGGGAGATCCCAGGAAACCTATCCAAGGACAGTGTGTGGGGGGCAGCACCCCACATTGATACTGGAGAAGAGGTGAGGCAGGAGGCAGATCCCAGCATAAGCCAAACAGGGAAGGGTGTTGCAGGCCCAGAGTGCCAAGCACACTGGGTTAGATGGTTCAGGACTCTTCTCAGGGACAATGTCCTTGTGTGTCTGACCTTCATCCTCGGTGGGCAGATCTTTTCCTAGGCTAGCCCGAGCCACAAGGGACATTTACAGTCTTCCTGCTGGGATAAGAAGAGGGGTGGACCAGGGAGCACTATACATCCTCCTTGAGAGAGGTCTGGCCCTGATCACTCTTGTCTACCCAGCACTAACTACACCAGCTGAGAGGTGTTAGCCTAGACATGAGAGACCCTGGGGAAGGCTCACCTCCAGCCCATCCCGCCACCTGTCCTAGGGACCTCGACATAGACAGGCCCACTCATGGGGTTCTCAAGAGCTCTTTTGTTATTACTGTCTGAAGTGCAAAGCCCGGGGTCCTCCACCCCGATAGGCTTCTTTGTTTCACAGGGACAGAGTGTAGACAGGACAGGTAGGGTTCAGGGAGAAGGAGGACGGTTGATGGCTGGGATGTGGGCTGGCTGATGCTAAAAAGGACCCTTCCTTTTCTTGGCTCACCCATGCTAATTCCCTCCCTTCAGCCTCTGGGACCCTCAAGCACTCTCTCACCTGACACTCAGCAGGCTGGGTCTGAGGCACATGGCATATACTTTCTAGTTTTCCTCCCTTGTTCTGTGAGAAAGCCTGAGACAGCAGGTGCCTTGTCCCTACCCATCCCCCAGGAAGATGGGAACAAGCTGCCATTCCCAGAGCTCGTTGACCTCAGGCTCTATTCTAGCTCTCTTTCTCCTGAAATAGCTACTTGCAGGCTCTCTGAAATCTGGGACTCTGCTGGCTAAGGCTGTCATGTGGGTGTAGAGTCCCAAAGAATGGTGAGTCTGTCTTTCTGTGCCCATTCTCTATCTGGGCAAGTGACACCATCCTGTGTCTTCTGGAGCTCCGTCTGTCTCTTAAGAGGGAACATTAGCCTCAGCCTTGGGTACTGTCCCTTCTCCTGCCATCTGGGAAGTGGCAGAGAAAGGCTGCTGAACTTTCTGTGGCTTGACTGGCATGAGCCCCTGTCTGGACACACTATACTTCCAACTAGCCAAAACCACACGTGGCTCTTGTCTATAAGAGAGAAATGGAGAGTCCTCTGTGCTGCCTGTGAACTTCAAAGAATCAGCATACCTAGCCTTGCAGAGTTGTTGGTTATGTTGTTAGGCATTCACACACACACACACACACACACACACACACACACACACGTACTTACATTATACACATTATATATATACTGTTTCTCAGAGAAGAAAGTATTGACATCAGATAGAAGCCCCTTTAACTCAAGAAAGTTCCCCCACCCAACCTCCCAAACCCTTTTGCCCCCCAGTTCCCCTAAGGAAAAAAAAGAATCAAAAATTATTTCCATCATCCACAGTTTTCAGGTTGCTCTTGGTTGCATCTGAACGTCTCCAAATACTGCACAGGATGAAGCAGGTAACCCATCCTCAAGATCTGAAGTCTTCTGAGCTGGGTTGTGTCTTTCTAGGAAGAGAAACTGTCAAGTTAGGGTATACTGACAGGTGGGCATGGTACAGTATCAGTTATTTGGCTAAGGCAGCAGGATCACACATTTAAGCCCAACCTAGGCTACAGAGCAAGTGGAAGGCTGGCCCGGGAGACTTAGGAAGACCCTCTCTCAAGATAAAGTATAAAAAATATAAAATATAAGGGTGATTGAGGTTATCCAGTGATAAAGCATTTGCATAGAATGTGTGAGGCCCGAGGTTAAACCCCGACAAGCACAACATGTAGAGTCACATGTAGTGAGACATGTAGAGTCACATGAAGTGAGACATTGCCACACGAGAATTCTGACCCATGCTATACACTGCTTCTCATCACACCTTCCCAAAGGCGTCTGCTTCAGAATTCAGCTGTGGTTCCTGACTTATCTGTATGAGAAACCCTTTGGATACCCACATAAAAATACACCTTCCTGCACCCCATGTTAGGGCTACTTAAGGGCTATCAGGTCAGAATTGACAAGGCCAGCAGCGTGTGAGAAGCATTCCTGTTGGTTCCAGAGAATGTTCAGTTTGCAAAATTTTGACAGAGTGCTGGATTTGAGTTTCTGGTCTCCAGATCATCAACTGGAAACAAATCTTGTCCATACTTAGTGTGTGCAGAATGAGAATGGCTTTTCAGAAGGATGGAGGGATGGAGGGATGGAGGGGTGGAGGGATGGAGGGGTGGAGGGGTGGAGGGATGGAGGGGTGGAGAGGTGGAGGGGTGGAGGGATGGAGGGGTGGAGGGGTGGAGAGGTGACTCAGTGGTGAAGAGCATTTGCTGCTCTTTCAGAGGATGCGGGTTCGATTCCCAGCACCCATGTGGTGGCTCACAACTGTCTGTAGCTCCAGGTCCAGAAGGTCTGATGCCCTATGTGGCTTCCTTCGGCACCTGGCACACATATGGTGCACAGACATACATGTAGGCAAGATGCTCATCCATATAAAAATAATAATAGAATAATAAAACAATAAGGATGGAGAGTAAGCTATGGTTGGCCAAACCCAGAATGGTACTGCCTGACTCCTTTATTATGTAGCCCCCCTGTGAGTGGCACCACCTGATTGTACAGTAGGCATCTACACAGTTATACTCAGTAGTCCTTCCAGTGTTATCAAACATTACATATCCCCATGTCCTGCTATGGGACAGCCAGGAGCTAGGAGCTTCCATGGCTGTCCTCCCTGACCTGTTATTCAGAGCCCAACTGCCTGCTAAACCAAACAATGCGTCTCCCTAGAGCACACAGGCCTAGGCTCTCTGCGTGACTGCCACGGTGGACCTGGAGACATCCCCTGATATGGAGCAAGCCGATTCTCACCTGCAAGCTGAACTTGCTTGGACAGTCTCTTCTTAGAATCGGGAGGTGAAGTTTCTGAAGCTGTTGGCCCCAGCTATGGTTCCCAACATGTTCCTATCGAAACCTTGCTGCAAGAGG